AACTTTGGGTTAATTTGTTTGATGATCCATCTTGGTTTGGTTTGGTTTTTGGGGGTGGGGAGGACTGTCCACAGTATTCTTAGGAGTTTTCTCCAACACCAAAGTTCAAAAGTATCTGTACTCTTCCTATCCTGTATATAATTAATAATGATGGAAACATTTGGTAGTGCAAATATATAATAATAAGAACTAGAACAATAGCAAATAGCAAAAAAAGGACATTTTATTTATTTGATGGCTAGATTTATATCTTGCTTTTTCTTCAGGAGCTGAAGATGGTGTCAATAATATTTCCTCCTCCCATTTTCCCCCACAACAACCTCTGAAAGAGCAATGAAAGAGTAACTCAAAGTTATTTATCTGTTTACACATGTTATATGGCCACCTATCATATAGCAATGACTCTGGGAGGTATCTAGAGTTAAAAACATTTTCAACAAAGGAAACAATCCAAGCCTTAATGTCTGCGAGCACAACAACAATCCCAGCACATAAGAAAACAATATTAACCTGTAGAACCTGCTTCACCTCCCAGTCCAAACACCTCGGGGAACAACAAGGTCTTTAATACGTTATGGAAAAACTAACTGGGTCAGGGCCATCCAGATCTCTGCAGGGATGCTGTTGCATTGCCACAGACACGACTCTTGGATACAACAACAACAAGGTAGTATTGTTTAATGGAAAGGACCCTAAACATGTTAGAGCTGGAGGGGCATGCAAAGACAAGGGGAGATAGCAGTTCCACAAATGTCATGTCAGTCAGCATAATATAGTAGTTTAAAATACTGAGAAAAAGAAATTATTTTGAATTTACTGCTTAATTTAATGGCGTCGCCACTTGCATCTCCATGAGAAGTATGTTCCATGATCAAACTGCTATTCTTCTATGTGCTCCAGCAGATGACAGTACCTAGCCAGCATTGGTTGATCTCAAAGGGCTAAGCAAACTCAAACCTAGTTAGCAATTCAATGGGGAGGCAATCAGGAAAATTTAATTTCCGGACCAAATTGGAAAGTTTAAAAAATAACAGGGAAGAAAGTAATAGCCAACCACATCCTTATCCAGAAGGCAAGGCTGTCTTCAGAAGTCTTCACTTCTTTTTGTTATGTATAATGTACCATGTCATTTTGGAGAGGAGCCTCTTTTAATTGTCTTGGGAATAAATATCCCCGCAGCTATTTAAAGTAAAGAAAAACACTCCCTGGATTAGGAGACCACATTTGGAATATTTATTTCTCCACCCCCAGATACTTTTTAATTTAAGATGTCTGTGAGCTCTTTCAATAGGTCAGGAGTTTTTTCTTCTACAGTTCATTCGACCTACCATACATTCCTTTCTGGTGATATATTTTTCTGGTAGGAAAGGCCTTCACAGCATAAACAGAGCTTTGTTCTAAGTTTCAGCTGAAGTGTTGTTACTTTTGAAAAATTAGGCCAGATCCTGCAAATGTTGTTGGGGAAAGCATGAGCAAAAGTTATGGTGTAGAAAGTATGCATAGGATGGAAAACTCAGCTATTTTTTTCTGAGAACTTTTAAAGAAGAAGTGAATTATTCCCCTGGCAGGAAAGAAATCCGACTCAGCTGAAAAGCTGTAGGAAGGGCTGGAGAAAAGTTAACAAGCTTAGGGAAAATACTAACAGGGTTCTCTAAAGTCAAAAGTGAATTTGGTTTTCTGTTTCAAGATAATAGGCAGTTTTTTCCCTTTTCTCCTACACATTAAAGTGTTTACATGGGTGTAAACACCATGGATGCCCCAGAATTACATTACAGTTAGTCCTCAATTTAAGACTATGATTGAACTTGGCAGTTGTTAAGTGGGTCATCATGTGACTGTTCCTGATATTACTAGCTTTTTTGCAATGGTTGCTAAGCGAATGTGATGGTCATTAAGCAAATTCATTGTACCCAATGGACATTTTTTTTGCCAGAAATTAGAAGTTTACCAGATGTTTCTGGCAAAAAAAAACCCCACCCATAAATCACCCATAAAGCATGGTTATGTGACTGTGGGACGCTGCAAACAGCCAATTGTGAAGTCCAAAATGTGGTCATGTGACTGCGAGGGGGAGCACAGTTAGAATTTCAAAACCTGGTCATAAGTAGCTCTGGGGAGATCCATTGTAATGTTAACATTACAGAGAAGGAGAGCCTTCTCTGTGGGGGCACCTACCCTCTGGAATCAGCTGTCCCCAGAGATAAGGAGAATCCAAGACCTCAGTGCCTTCCGCCGTGCCCTTAAAACCCACTTTTTCCAGCAAGCCGGGCTGGCTTAGGAAGAATTTTTTTTAAAATTTTTAAATGTTTAATTGGTTTGTGGTTTTTTAAATTTTGGGCCAAATTTATATAGATTTTAATTGTTTTTAATATTTGTATTTCATGTTTTTAATTCTGGCTGTGCACCGCCCTGAGTCCTCAGGGAGAAGGGCGGTATATAAATTGAAAAATAAAATAAAATAAATAAAATAAAATAAAATGACCATTCATAAGTCAAGGGCCATCTGTACATCGTCTCAGTATATTATACAACATACCTTGATATAACTTTCGAGGAAGAGACGCATCCTAGTTTTTATTGTCGCCTCATAGCGAGTTATGCAGCAAATCAGAAATAATTTTGTTATTGAAATCTTTGTGATTTATTACTAGAACGAAATTAGGGATGAGATATAATTTGTAGTTAATTTTAATTGCTTTTTAATTAAGGGAAAGAAGTACAACAAGGAGAAAGAAACATAGTATGATGAATTATTTTAACAGTAAAGTTACAATTCATGAAGATATAATAAGGATAATGTTTCTTTAAAAGACATGTTTTTACAATGTCCTATACTTACTATATTTTGGGCGGAAGTAGTGGTTTATATAAATATGATTGTGTGCCAAAAGCTAAAATTTTCACAGGATAATATTCTCTTGAACTATATACCAAGTACATGGAATTTGGCAACTAGATTTTTCCGTGCCCTTATTATGGCCAAAAGACTGATTCTTCGGCATTGAAAAGTTAAATGTGGGGCTCTTTTCATTCAGTGGATTGAAGAACTGACTGCACTTGCCACCTAGGAGTGGATTGCCTATAGACATAGACTTCGTATAGACAGGTATAATGAAACATGAGATTCATTTATACAAACACAGTAGATTAAAGTACAATAGTTTTATAAGAGTACAATAAATATATATGTATTTATAATATTTGCATTAGATATGTGTATATAGAACTGTAAATGTTTACTTTTTAAAAGAGATGAGATGATACCTTGATAGGTAGCAAAGGATATTCATGTTCTGGATGTGGCCAGCAATTGTACATGTGCAGGCTTTTAATTAATCTCTTGAGTTTTCTCAGAATAGATATGCCTGCCCAGTTAATTAATGAGCTGATTAATATTATGATGATTGGCCACCAAGAAATCTCAGTGATGCGGTTTGACCGAGAAGGACTATATTGTTGCCAAGAAAATTATATGAACCATAAACTATGTAGCTTTCAGGAGGTGACCTTGATCCAAGAAAGTATTCTTCTACCCATTTTAAGAGAATTGGCCCTAGGCCAGTGATGGCGAACCTTTTCGGCACCGAGTGCCCAAACCAGAATGCACACACACTGGAGCGCCGGAAATCCGAAGACCGCTTGGCCAGCTGGTCTTTGGGTTTCTGGTGCTCGGGTGCATGCAAAGATCAGCTGGCCAGCGCACATGCGCGTACCGGAAACTAGAAGCACATCTGCCAACGGCGTGTGTGCCCACATAGAGGACTCTGCATGCCACCTCTGGCCCTAGGCTTTAATCAAAGCATCATCCTGCCTCTACAGCAGGGCTGTCAAACTGGATTTCTTTGAGGGAGATCAGTATTGTAGTTTTACACGGGTCACCCAGGGATGGAAGCCTCCTGCAGCACCCATCGGCCAACATGTGGCACAGGAGGGTCATGCATGGCTCCTCCACAGCCCGTTTTTGGCCTCCACGGCCTACTGTAGCACTCTGCCAGCCAAAAACAGGCTGCAGGGGGCATGCGAGGCCCACCCATGGACCGTTTTTGCCAGCAGAGGCAGCACTAGCCGGTCCTTTAATATTTCCAGGCTGGCCCCACGGGCCGAATCTGGCCCGTGGACCTTGAGTTTGACACCCTTGTTCTACAGCATCATAGAAACATATCATCATGTGATGTAAGGGTTGGAAGAGACTTTAAGCCTCTTCTAAGCCAATTCCTGCTTGTTCAGAACTTCAGTGTAAAGGCTCTTGAAAGTTTGTAGAATTGGATGTTTATGAGATAAAGAAGCAAGCAGTTGCTAATTGGTACATTGAGAATTTTAGGGTATACCTATTATAGTCCAATCATTAGTATAGTTTGAGAATGGTCAACAAACTTCTAATGAGGCTTCAGAATGCACAAATGGGATTCTTATGAGGATGAAGCTGAAGATAAAGGGAGGCAGTTGTACATAAGAAAAGATTGTGGTTTGATTGAATTCTGGAAGAATCAAGAGAGATAAAAGATAAAAATAGGGGCTTTTTTACCTAATGTGTACTTAAACTCAGGGACACATTACTATGAGATGTGGTGCTAGTTACTGCTTGGCAGCTTCAAAAAAAAAGGATTAGATAAATTCTTTAGATAAAGTCATCAGATTCAATGGCTCCTGATGTCAATGTAACAGTCTCTAAAGGCCATCTCCTGGGACATTAGTGAGTTTCCTTGTGCCACTGTGAGAAGATACTGTTGGACTAGGGTCTGATGCATCAAGGGTTTGATGATGCATCAGGGGATTGCTTATGTTCTTATGATGCTGTGTTGATAGCACAATTTGTGGAAAAGAGGAGAAAAGATCTGAGATGATATATGCTTAATTAGACCCTCTGGAAGATTGAAGTAAGGCAGTAAAAGGGTTATCTGTCTGACGACTTGGACAGTAATTTGTGGGGAAGTCATTTACAGACAAATATAATAACATCAATGAAATCTTGATGTCTGTTTTTCCTCTTCCTCTTTTAGGAGCAACCTGCCAAAATGTCTAGCAAGAAAGAGAATGTGCACAAGAAATGGAGCGTCTTGAAAGAAAGGCTGGGGTCCCAGGATTCGGATCAAACAGAAGCCAATCTGGAAAACGCAGAGCCAGAGCTCTGCATTCGTCTCTTGCAGATCCCTTCGGTGGTGAATTACTCAGGGCTCAAGAAACGGCTGGAAAGTAGTGATGACAGCTGGATGGTCCAGTTTTTGGAACTCTGTGGACTGGATCTTCTGTTAGAAGCCCTAGACAGGCTGTCGGGGAGAGGAGTTTCTAGGATCTCGGATGCCCTCCTGCAGCTGACATGCATCAACTGTGTACGGGCAGTAATGAACTCTCAGAAGGGCATTGAATATATCGTGAGCAATGAAGGTTACGTCAGGAAACTCTCTCAAGGTGAGTGCATGTTCTCTCTGTGTGTGTGTGTGTGTGTGTGTGTCTGTCTCTCTCACTCTGTCTCTCTGTCTCTCTGTCTCTCTCTCTCTCTCTTTCTCTGTCTCTCTCTGTCTCTGTCTCTGTCTCTCTCTCTCCTTCCCTCCCTCTCCCTCCCTCCTTTGGATTATTTATGATTTGATTTTTTATGATTTCATAGTTGGGGACTCATTATTACTGGATTTTAGAGCTCTTCAGGAATCCCTAGGAAACACAGAAGTTAGTGTGGGTAAATGAATAAACTAGCAATCATGACATTGAAAAATCTGTAGGCTTTGTCATCCCTTGCAGGGAAGTCAGATGAGTGCAGTGACTTGAAACAAAGACAGCAGAAGTGGGAGCAGGGCAGGAGACGTCATGTCAGTGTAGTTTTCTGCTGACTCAAGTTATGATGGATAATAGCTCTTCAGCTCAGCAGTGGGGAACATGTGAAATGGCTGAAGGGTGTATAAGAATGTCCTGTCCTGTCTTGTATTGTGCAATTATCTCTCCAGTGGTCTGCAGCCTTTCTCTCCTCCTACTCTTCAAATAACACGCCAAGGGAAAATAGCATGAGTACCTATTTCAGAAATGCAGGAAATAACTCATAACAAGAAATGAACTCCCCCCTGGCCTTCTTCAGAACAATAGAACTCGATTGTTAGGTACATTACAAAGGGTTGTATATAAAGAGATGTCTCACAGAAAATACCTTGTACATTATCTTAGATAGCAAAGAAAAAAGATATGTAGGAAATTGGAGTACAAGATTTTGGTATAGTATAGGGTGTTGAATTAGCTTGTAAACTGGAGAGCTGCAATCCTACGTAGGGAGAAGGCAGCCCATTAGAATGAGTTGTATTTGTATTGGGACAGGGAACAAAGAATTAAGGTCCTTTCCTCCACAAATTAGAGCCTCAATCTAGATTGGGTCTCCTGAATTTAGAGTTGAATAGAAAAGATCTTTTTCGAGCTATATCATCTATAAAATACCTAGAATAACTCTGAAATATAATTGTCCTTTTTTGTCTTTGTAGCACTGGACACTTCAAATATCATGGTCAAAAAGCAAGTGTTTGAACTCCTGGCTGCTCTCTGCATTTATTCATTTGATGGCCATGTACTGGCTTTGGATGCTTTAGACCATTACAAGGCAAGTAGAAAATCAGATGTATAACCAATACCATCATCTGCATCAATCAATGTAGCTCTTCAGAGTCAAACCAGTCGGTCCATCTCATTGGTCCTCATCCAGAAAGTCATAAGCATTAAGTCTCTTCTGAACTTGCAGAGCAGAATGAGGTAATCTGGTATTTAAGGCAACAGGAATCTTCCTTGACGCCCACCAGACTACCTTTTTATTTCCTTTGAGGTTATTAAAATTTAATTAATTAAAAACTGTCATGCTGCAAAGCAAAATGTCATTCTCCAACATCATTCTTTCCTGCCCCTAAAATGAAAGCAAACTGCCTCTGGACCTCATAGACATTCTTAGAAAAGAAAAATTGTGCCTATCTATTGACTAGAGTTTTGTACCCATCTACGTTAAAAGAAAAAAAACACACATACACACACACACAATGAGATAGGAGGGAGGTTCCTTAAAATGCTAAATATGCCGAGTGGTTCAAAAAGATTGCTGACCTCAGGTTTAGGTTCTGTTTAGAACATATATACCCACAAACCCTTGCCCTCTGATAAGGAACTCAAGTATATTTTCCCATGTCTATCCTTTCTGCTACCTCTGTTGACTATACCAAAGTCAGTGGCTCCTATTAACACATAGCGGAGGTCTTCAAACTTGACAACTTTAAGATTTGTGGACTTCAACTCCCAGTATTCTCCAGCCAGCTGGCTGGAGAATACTGGGAGTTGAAGTCCACAAGTCTTAAAGCTGCCAAGTATGAATACCTCTGCATTATATAGTAAGGAATTCCATTGGTGGATAATGAATTCTGTCAAAAATCTTCTGTTTTAATCTACTATGAAATGTCAGTCCATTTCAGCGGCCCACTTTCACATAACTAAAATCATTGTCATCACAGGGATGAAGAAACTATAGTTCCTTAGCATTTTTTTTCATCTTGCCATTTCCCCTGAATTGAGGAACTTCTTATTTCAGAGAAGGACCATAGTTCAACTTGTGAAACTTTTTATCAGTTGGATTTCTGGCATAACCAGATTTCTGAATTTTCTACTTAAAACTCTGAAGGTCATGGCTAAACCGAGGTGACAATAGTAGGCCGAACAAACTTGGTTTTGAAATCTAGCATTCAATCCAGCACATCTTTTATTTGCCTCCTTTGCCACAGACTGTGAAAAACCAGCAGTATCGGTTCAGCGTCATTATGAATGAGCTCTCGGTCACAGATAATGTGCCCTACATGATAACGCTCTTGAGTGCCATCAATGCAGTTATATTGGGAACAGAGGAACTGAGAGGGAGGATGCAGCTCCGGAATGAATTCATTGGTAAGAATGGTTTTCAGTTCAGATGTTCCATATGAAATTAGCTTTGTCAGAAAAATCTCTTGGCCTATCAGAAAGCCACTAGTGTACAGGTGTCAAACTCACTGCGTCACGTTGCTGTCACACACGGGTGCTATTCAGCAGGTTCTGACAGGTTTTGGAGAACCAGTAGCGGAAATTTTGAGTAGTTCAGAGAACCGGCAAATACCACCTCTGGCTAGTGGGGTGGGAATGGAGATTTTGCAATATCCTTCCCCCAGGAGTGGAGAGGGATTGGGAATTTTGCAGTATCCTTCCCCTGGAGTAGGGTGGGAATGGAGATTTTGCAGTATCCTTTCCCTGCCACGCCCACCAAGTCATACCCACAGAACCGGTAGTAAAAAAAATTGAATTCCACCACTGCTCCACGTGACGTTTCACGATGTTTTTTCCCATTCGTGGAGCTGCACGTGATGCATCCGGCCCGCGGCCCACCAGTTTGATACCCCTACTCTAGTGGAACCATCTAAGAACTATGACTGACAGATTTACCTACCCTGAATTTATCTAAACTCAAGAAAATAAAACAAAACAAAAAGTTGGTTTCCAAGAAGACAGATCCTTCTTGCTAAACTATTTTTTTTTAAAAATTAGCAATTCCATGTTGTGCATCGTTTAGCAATTTTCAAATTTACATCTGTTTCACAAAAAGATTTCCTTACCTAAATTGGTAGTCCATTTACAGGTAGTCCTTGACGTACAAAGTTCATTTAGTGACCATTTGAAGTTACAACAGCACTGAAAAAAAGTGACTTATGACCGTTTTTCACACTTATGACCATTACAGCATCCTCATGGTCACATGATCAAAATTTGGATGCTGGACAGCTGACTCATATTTATGATGGTTGCAATATCTTGGGGTCACATGATCCTCCTTTGAAACCTTCTAATAAGCAAAGTCAATGGGGAAACCCGATTCCCTCAACAGCTGTGGTACTAATTTAACAACTGTAGTGATTCACTAAACTACTCTGGCGAGAGAAGTCAAAATGGAACAAAATTCATTTAACAAATGTCTCACTTAACAACAGAAAATTTTGGCTCAATTGAGGTCATAAATCAAGGACTACCTGTAGTCATTTTCTGTATGACATATTTGTTAGTGTTACTGATGCTAAAGTAGTTTGTTTTTATTAGACCATATATTGATGAGGAGTTTTTCCTCTTCTCTATTTCCAGGTCTTCAGTTCTTGGATATTCTAAGCAAACTGCGGTGAGTGATTCATTATGCTTTGGAATATGTAACTATATTATATTTGAAATATGATAATTGTTTCACAATTTTGTACTATATACATCACATGATTAAGGGAGAGCCATTTCCTTATCAGAACACTTCTTTGAATCTACTGTTGTATCCCTAGTATCTAGTTCCTTCCTGTAGAAGGAAACAGACATGAGCTTAAATATAGTTGACCACAATAGTATTTCTTTTAGAAAATAAGGTTTCATTGATCATCTGTTTTTGTTCAGCAAGATTTCTATCCCTCAGATCGAGTAATAATTGCTCTTTCGTTTATCTTCATCACTTTCCTTTATATTTCATTAGCTTAAAAAAATCTAGATATACTTTTTCAAATTGTTTCTATCAACTTGGGATCTGTAAAACTAAGCATTCATTATGCTCAAAATTTGACATGTCTTAGCAGTCTCTCCAGAAACTACCTGAAGCTATTTTGCAGTGGTCATCTCTATTCCCACTGAAGTTTAGACAGTCCGGGTTAGCTGATCTAGATTACATTGTGATGATTGCCACATCTGTTTGGTGTGTCTATGTGTGTTACTTGTAAAACTGTGTGTTACCTGCAAAAAAGTTCTTCTTAGAGGGAGAAATGTGAAAAATACATTAGCTTCTGCTGTAGGGTTATTAACTGATGTGATTTTAAAATTTTAAAAAAGTTATTTTGATTAACGAATTGCTAATATTTATTGTTGTGGGCTTTATATAGAGACATAGAAGATGAGGACTTGCTTATCCAGTGTGAGACATTTGAGGAGGCTAAGACTGAAGATGATGAAGAGTTACTGAGAATATGTGATGGCATTGACATGAACAGTCATCAAGATGTATTCTCGTCTCTGTTCAACAAAGTGAGCAATATTTGCTTTTTAATGCAACATATAAATTCCTCTTTGTTTCTGTATCTCCTTGTTATTCCATAGAATTCAGCATTCCTAAATACTGATTTAAAACTACGTATATAAATATTACATATCAAAAGTTAGGGAATAAAACTTAAATCAGCCACACAACCAGTTAAAGGCACAGTATGGCATACAATTATCTTCTAAAACTTGCTCTGGGGACACCCAGTTCCAAATCTACTTTCAGCTATAGAAATCGACTGAATGACCCAGGGCCAATTAGCATGATGGGGAGCGTCTTGAGCTCAGGAGGAAAGAGAATGATCCTAGAGTCATCCTGAATTTTTTAAACAGCTCTTATCCCACCCCTTCATCACCTAACTTTGGTGTTTTTCTTTTGGGAAATAATCATCTAAATTGTAAGGCAAGTCTATTAAGATTGGCCTTGCTTTAATATAATCTATTGGATTCTCCATGCAAACTTGCTGCTTAAACGTGATGCATAAATGTGATGCTTAAATGCGCTGCACAGCTGCAGCACATCATTTCACTAGTTTGTAGAATCAAAGTGTCATTTTCCCCCCAAATGGGTTTTATATATTATTTATAATTGTTATCTGTTCTAGTACAAGCATGTGCGTTGCATTTAAATACATATTCATTGAATTTACATCCTGAGATTCTTCCTACAATTGGGAAACTTGATTAGCTATTGCATCCATTTATTATTATTTTAAAATAATAATAGACAAACAAAGGAACATCACACACACACACAAACAGTATATCACAGAAGTGAGTGCACCCCTCACATTTTGTAAATATTTAAGTATATCTTTTCATGTGACAACACTGAAGAAATGACACTTGGCTACACTGTAAAGTAGTGAGTATACAGTTTGTATAACCCCTCAAAATAACACAACACACAGTCATTAATGTCTAAACTGCTGGCAACAAAAGTGAGTACACCCCTAAGTGATAATGTCCAAATGGGGCCCAAGTAGCCGTTTTCCCTCCCTGGTGCCATGTGATGTGTTAGTGTTACAAGGTCAGGTGTGAAGGGGGAGCAGGTGTGTTAAATTTGGTGTCATCATTCTCACTCTCTCATACTGGCCATACTTAAATATTTACAAAATGTGAGGGGATGTACTCACTTCTGTATATATACACTGTGTGTATATATCACAACAGAAAAACAGTTTATAAATAGCAATAGCAATAGCACTTATATACACAGTGCTTTACAGCCTTCTCTAAGCGGTTTACAGAATCAGCATATTGCCCCCAACAATCTGGGTCCTCATTTTACCCACCTTGGAAGGATGGAAGGCTGAGTCAACTTTGAGCCTGGTGAGATTCAAACTGCCAAATTGCAGGCACCCAACAGGCAGCAGAAGTAGCCTGCAGTACTGAATTCTAACCACTGCGCCACTGTGGCTCTTTATAATAAATTATAATATAAAGTATGTCATTAAAAAGTATTATAGATAGACAGACAGATACAGATATAGGTGAGATAGTTGGAGGTGGAGGTAGAGATGGAGATGGAGATAGAGATAGATAGTGAAAGGTAGAGGAACCTCTACAGATTTTACTCCAGTAGTTGTTGTCAGCTTTAAGGGTTGGTGCTCATCTCCATTTCAAGGCCATTGAGCCAGCGCTGTCCAAAGAAATGCTGGTCCGGTGACCAGCATGAAGTCACAGAGCACTCTTGCAGCTCTGGATTTTTGGTAGCACAGATTGTAATACTAGAGTAGCATCATTACAATGATATCAGTATTGTAATATATAAAGAGATAATAGCTTCAAAGTTTCATTTTCTGTTTCAGGTGAGTAGCTCACCAGTCTCCGTTCAATTGCTGTCCATTCTCCAAAGCCTCTTGCATCTCGAACCTTCTCATCGCTCCAGCCTATTGCTCTGGGAATCCTTAGAAATTTTAGTAAGCAGAGCCATCTTGCTTGCTAATGACAGTAAGTTTTAACACACTATGAACCGTGATGCAATACGTGTTCCCCAAAAAAGCAAAGCAAGCCAAAATACAGATTTCATGTTTGGTTTTTAAGAAATCTGGCTCTGGGATTGTGACCCACCAGGTTTGTAACAGATTTCTGCTCCATTTACATCATCTTCCTAGATCAACAGAATAAAGGAAACAGTACTTCGGCACTCCAGGACAGGTGGCAATAGAAAATTGTGACGAGAGATTGTGTTGCTCAGAAAGAATATAAGTAAACATTTCCCACCCAATTTCCTGTTTCCTGTTTCCTTCTAAAGGGAGTCTGCTGCCAGAGGATTCTTCACCCAGAACAAAGCACTCTTTATTAAGGGAGTTATCACTAGGAATGATGCTGGATTGGCTTACATAAAGCCAATAAATTGAGGTTCAATCCATGCAAGATAGAGATTCCATTAGTTGTTCGGGAAAGTGGATTTGCTTTGCAGCTTATGATATTTCCAAGTCAGACCACAGTTGTGTTCACAGGTGGTACAGCCCAAGTTTGGCTGATATATCATCTGGTCATTATCTTAGAGAAGATGATCTTACCACAACGATCTTGCTTTAGTTAGATTTGAAAGATTTCCAGTTCATGGCGAATGCACTCATGCAAGGCATAAGGCCTTTATTAATAGGCTTCCTTTAACTCACACCATGGCCCCACTGTCAATAATCCTTATGCAAAAGGTAATTTGCTGCTAAGAAAGATCGATCTTTAGATCTCCTATGCTTTTGGGTTATTACTGCACCCAGAGTATACAACTACGTAATAATTACAATAAATGCTTGAATACAGAGTAAACCTCAATCGAGCCTATTTCACTTATTAATCTTAATTGTCACCATAAAGTGTAAGATTCAGAGCTTGTGTTTGATTTCTCTGGTTCATAAATCCCTGCATGGACTCAAAATCACCTTTCCCTCTACTCAATCATTAATATAAGCCTCTCTTCAGGTAAATGCCTCTTCTTTATAAATACATTGATGTGGTCAAATGGCAAAACACAAGCAAGGAACATGTTTACATATATTTACAGTAGTGGCCAAAATTGTGGAAACCTTTTGGGGGAAACTGTATTTTCTAAAACTAGCTAATAACACCATTTATTTTATTTATTTTTTTGGAGTAGCACCATAAAATTATATATCAATGGAAAGATAATTTAATCAAGAATGTAATGCAATAACTTTTATGAAAGATTTGCTATTGGAATAGCAGTTACAGTATAAAGAAGAAAAGTTAAACATGTAGAAAAAATGAGATATACAAAAATTATTACCATAAAAAATGAGATATGCAAAAATTATCACGTCAGTTAATACTTAGTTGGGTAACCTTTAGCATGAATTACGGCTTTACAACGTCTTCCCATGGAGTGAACCAAATCTTTTAGTTCTGTAACTGTTATAATGTGAAACCAAGATTGAATGATTGCTTCTATTAACTGGGTTTTATTGCTGGGTCGCTTCTGAAGTTTCTTTAGTCAGCTCCTATCGGCTCCATAGATTTTTAATTGGGTTAAGGTCTGAGCTATTCCCAGGCCATTCCAGCAGTGGAATATGATTATCTTGAAACTCCTAAAATAAAGTGATGTTATTAGCCATCAAATCTCAAAAATACACTTTTCCCAAAAGGTTTCCACAACTTTGGCCACTATTGTACAAGTAATTTTGTAAATGACCTTGTAAAATTGCATAGTAAGCATGAGAAATAAGAATATACAAAGAATAAGAACATACATAGATGCAGATTGAAGATTGTGATGACCAGTTGGCTCCAGGATTTTGAAGTCTGGCTGGAAAAATGCAGAGAAGCTAAAGTTTATTTTCATTGGCTCCAGTCCATCTCTGCTTTTAACTCTTCGGCATTTCCAACTAGGCCTTCTTGGCTCCTTTTTACTTAGGTTTGGCTTCTTCAGAGTAGCTTTCCAAGTGTTGGATCATCATGAGCAGCAGAGAAAACACTGCGTCTTCCAGGGTTTTACAAATAACGTAAAGGAAAAGTCTATGAAAGCTTTTCTTGCTGTCAGCTCTCCTAATAAAAAGCTTTTTCAAGAAATCAAAATAAACATTCAAATTTAAATATAGAAATTTTACTCTTAATCAAAATATAATAATATGAAATATGTAATATGTAATATACTTGTCTTCAGTCACGGCAATTATAGTTACAGGGTTACCAATCAATGTTATATTCTAGTATGAAGTCGAGAAAAAGCAGAAAGCGATATAAACGTCAAACAGAAGATAAAAGATTCAGACACCAATACAGTTCAAGCATGAGCACTTGAGGAAAATGGTGGAGATGGAGTGTGTGGTTTTTTTATGCATAGCTCTCCAACTGACATTCTCTCTTAAAGGAGATCTGCTTGGTTCCACGGTTGCTTAGTTTGAGAAAGAAGACTATAAGAGTCTCGCCCACCGTCTTATATCTAGCACACAATGACGTTTGAACCAAACTAATATGTTTATTTGTATAGTTTAAATCATTTTTTCCTCATTTTCATCTGCTTAAATTCGTTTGAAAACATGGTTCATTTGCAAAAGATATCATCTTTAAAATGTTCATAATGACATTTCTATGAAAAAATAGAATAGGATTTAGTTTGTTTTGCTCTATTCTGTTTAATGTTTTGCAGTACAAGATAATAGTGTGGAAGAAGTAATGGACAGATTGTTGTCTGTCAAGAAACACCGCAAGAAAAGAGATTTAGGTTCCAGAAGAGCAGCTAAGAAGGTGAACGAAAGCACTCAGACCAATGAAGATTTGGGGCAATGCCCAAACATCACCCAGAGCTCTCCTCCAAGAACTTGCTCTTCCAATACTCCACTTAATGTAGAGCCACACGATGTGTCTAAGATGGCATCCTCCTGCTTTTCAGTCAGTTCAGCTTCACCAGAATGGAATCTGTCTTCAGCTGCTCCAGTGCCACCTTCTCCTCCTCCCCCTTCCCTCCCAGGAACATCAGACATGTTGCCACAACAGCCATCTCCTCTACCTGGGATACAAATGCCAGCATCAGTTCCCACGTTGAATGATGTAGCAACAATTCCACCCCCTCCTCCTCTGCCTGGGATAACCGGCATTCTTCTCCCTCCCCCACTGCCCAGTTTGACAGGGATCCCTCCACCTCCACCTCTTCCCATTATGATAGGGGCCCATTCCCTACTTCAAAATTCAGCCATGCCACCACCACCTCCCCCACTGCCAGGTGTGGTAGAAATCCCTCCCCCTCCTCCGCTGCCTGGCATGGTAGGAATCCCTCCCCCTCCCCCGCTGCCTGGCATGGTAGGGATCCCTCCCCCTCCCCCACTGCCTGGCATGGTAGGGATTCCTCCCCCTCCCCCTCTTCCTGGTGCTGCAGGAATGCCACCTCCACCCCCCCCACTCCCAGGCATGCCACCTCCTCCTCCCCCACTGCCTGGGATGGAAGGGCTACCACCCCCTCCCCCACTGCCAGGCATCCCACCTCCTCCACCTCTGGGATTCAATGTTGAGGAAATTGTCCCTGCATGGGCCAACACTCTTAGCTATGCCGCACCACCCCCTAAAAGAAGGAAGATGCCAACACTAAGGATGAAGAAGCTGAATTGGCAGAAGCTCCCCTCCAATGTGGTGAGAGGTAAGAACTTCTGAAGTCTTTAAGTGCTACACAAGAGCTGCGGTAGCACAGTAGTTAGAGTGCAGTAGTGCAAGCTACTTCTGCTGATCACCGACTGCCAGCAGTTTGGCAGATCGAATCTCACCAGGTTCAAGGTTGACTCAGCCTTCCTTCCTTCCGAGGTGGGTAAAATCGGGACCCAGATTGTTGGGGGCAATATGCTGACTCTGTAAACCTCTTAGAGAGGGCTGTAAAGCACAGTGAAGCAGTATGTAAGTCTAAGTGCTATTGCTATTGCTACATCCGTAGTCAGACTCTTCCAGTGAAGCTTTTGAAGAAAGGTTCTTGGTTTGTTCCAGCAGATTCTTTTCCTTCACAGTTGAGTCTGTCCCTCTGCTAGGTGCTGCATCTGAAGTGATGGAAGCAGGAAAAGGAGCTTTTTCTTATTGGTACCAATAATGCAAGCCAAGCTTTTACATTCATGTTCCCTCTCGTGCACACTTTTTTTTGAATGAGATGAGAGAAAGCAGAATTTTAATATTTTAATGTATATTGTACCTGACATATTTAACATTAATTTCAAAAGAGAGAAAATGTATCAGTACAGTCCGTGATATAAACTTATCAATGTTTGATTAATGGTTCTCTTTAAGTGGAAGCACTGCCATTTTTTTAAAAAATTGCCCCTATAGGTGTCATCTGCAAGTAAAAAAGCAGGGTTGGTTGGTTTGGTTTATGGTTTATTTGATTTGTATACCGCCCTACTCCCGAAGGACTCAGGGCGGTGAACAGCCAACAATAAAATACATAAATACAAAAAAATTTAAGGGAAGAATGTTTCCGGTTTTGGAAAGGCATTATCATTCAGTACATTATCAAGAGTACACAGTGTTTTAGCAATGAATGGACTTTCTCACTGATCACATAATCTCAGTGTTGCTCAAACATTCAGGGAAGTTACATTTCAGTTCCTGGCACTCCCAAAGTGGTGGTGGGGGGACGGAAATCTACATAGGGCTCCGCCAGAACTATGCAATCATTGCATTGAATTTTTATTATTGTAACCCTAGTAATCATCCTATAAACTAAGGATATTGGAGTTAAAGGCAGCAGATGGGGAAAGGTCAAGAGTGAGGGGTTCGTCCTTGTTCTTCTTAAGCAACTGTTCTTCCACTTTTCTATTGAAAATCTATGTCAACTAAATAATTAACAACTTTAATTATAGGATATGTTTCTGTACATGTTTTGCTATGCATTTTCCTCCTACGTGTGAGTGTGTGTGTGTGTGTGTGTGTGTGTGTGTGTGTGTGTGTGTGTAGGTAGTCCTCAACTTACAACAGTTTGTTTAGTGACTGTTTGAAGTTACAGCAGTACTGGAAAAAAGTAACATAACCATGTTTCACACTTAGAAATGTTGCAGCCTCCTCTTGGTCTCATGATCAAAATTCAAGACACTTGGCGACTGACTCATATTTCTGACAGTTGCAGCATCCTAGGGTCGGAAGATCACTTTTTGTGACCTTCTGACAAGCAAAGTCAATGGGGAAACCAGTTTCACTCAATAACCGTGTTACTAAGTTAACAACTGTGACAAGAAAGGTTGTAAAATGGGGCAAAATTTACTTAACAAGTGCCTTGCTTAGCAACAGAAGATTTGGGCTCAGTTATGGTCATAAGTCAAGGATTTCCCGTATATGTATATCCTGCTGTTCCTTCAGAAATTCCAGACTATTTATTTGTCCCACATTACAAATACTGAATTGGTCCTCTCCTTTCAAAGGCATAGATGTGGACTGTGAAGCTATGAGATGCAACTCACCATCCTGCCTTGTGTCTTTCAGAGAGTCACTCCATGTGGGCATCAGCAACAAGAACGAGTGAAGAATATATTGAGCCGGATTACTCTAAAATAGAACAGTTGTTTTGCTTTCCACAAACCAAGCCCAAATCAAAGGAAGTTGCACCAGTGAGGACAGAACCAAAAGAGGTATGTTGATAATCTACTTGAACTAACCCTACTCATTTGGATGATGGTTTGAACCATCCAAGAGTTCCCATATATCAGGTGTTGAGCTTGCTACAGAAAAACATCCTGTTGCCTGACTCAGCAAGGAGGTTTTTGAGGTTAGAAGGAACATGTTTTTTTTTCCATGTTAGTTTGAGGGTTGCACATGCTTTAAAAACGATTTGCCAGGAATATTTCAAATGTTATCCAAGTATGGGACAACAATTCACTCCTTTTGATTAAAGCTTATACTGTGTACATTTTTTCTTTTTATTATTTTATTATTTTTATTTGTGAACATGCAAGCCTGTAAAATGATGTGGCCACTCTAAATTGCTCCGATACAGCAATTTTAATTAGTTCATTATTTAGGGCAAATGCAGATAAATCATTACTAATATTCCAAAAACAGGATTCTTAACAGAATTCAGAGTGAAGGTGATGGGCAGCAGGGAGAAAGCGGAACTGCTTAATTCCTTCTTTGCATCTGTTTTTACGCAAAAGGGGAAAAATAGCCCAACCTATCAAAAGCAGCACTGTGGGAGACAGGATTGCGGATCAAAATAGACAAGGAATTGATAAGGGAACACCTATCTGCTTTGGATGAGTTCAGCTCTCCAGGACCAAATGGTTTACATCTCTGGGTACTAAAGGAGCTGGCAGATGTGATCTCAGAACCACTGAATGAAAATTTTCAGTGCTCCTGGAGCATGGGGGAAATGCCAGAGAACTGGAAAAGATTTAATATGGTTCCAATCTTCAAAGGGGGTAAAAAGGTTGATCCAGGAAACTATAGACCAATCAGCTTGGGAAAATCCTGGAAAAAGATAATCAAGTAGTAGATTTGTGAGCATCTAAAAATGAACAAGGCAATTACTGGAAGCCGGCATGGGTTAGTTAAAAAACAGATCATGCCAAACAAACTTTACTGCCTTCTTTGATAAAGTGACTCAATTAGTGGATCAGGGAAATGCTTTGGATACACTATACTTGGACTACAGTCTACTTCAGTCTAAGACAAAACAATGTGGAATGGACAGTACCACCACCAGATGAATTTGCAACTGTCTGACCAACTGCACTCAGCATGAAGTCCTCTATGGAGCTACATCTACATGGAGGGAAACACGCAGTGGGATACCTCAAGATATCAAGTTTTGGGCCCAGTGCTCTTCAACATCTTCAGAAATGGACTAGATGAGGATAGAAGGGGGGATTTTTCAAATTTGCAGCTGACACCAATCTAGGGGGAATTGCCAACACTTTGAAAGATAGATTCAAAATTCAGAAAGCTCTTGACAGACTTTGGCATTGAGCCCTATCCAACAACATGCAGTTCAGTGGTGAGAAAAGTACAGTCCTGCATTTAGGAATAGCAATAGCACTTCGACTTATATACAGCTTCACAGTGCTTTACAGCCCCCTCTAAGCGGTTTACAGAATCAGCATATTGCCCCCAACAATCTGGGTCCTCATTTTATCAACCTTGGAAGGATGGAAGGCTGAATTTAGGCAGGAAATCCAAATGCATAGTACAGAATAGGAGGTATCTGGCTTAACACTAGTAACTGAGAGAGGGATCTAGGTATCCTGATGGATGATCACTTAAGTATGAGTCAGCAGTGTCTTGCAATTGCCAAAAAGTTCTAGGTTGCATCAACAGTGAGACAGCATCAAGATCATGGGAAGTGATAGTACCACTCTATACTACTAATGAGGTCACACTGGGAACATTGTGTCTGGTTCTGACCACCACATTACAAAACCAATGCTGAGGTCTTAGAGAGCGTGCAAAGAAGACAAAGATTATAAGGGATCTGGAGATGATGAACAGCTATGGGAATTATGTTTAGCCTAATGAAGAGAAGGTATGACAGCAGTATTTGAAGGAGAGAGTATCAGAGGGGAGAGAGTGTCAATTTATTTTCCATAGCACCTGTGTGCAGGACAAGAACAATCGGTGGAAGCTCATCCAAGGAGATTCAACCTGGAAATAAGGAGGAATTTCCTGGCAATGAGAATGATTAATCAGTGGAACAGTTTGCCTCCTGTAGTTGTAGATACCAGAGGTTTTCAAGAAAAGATTGGACAACCATTTGTCCAGGATGGTATAAGGACTCCTGCCTTAGGCAGGAGGTTAGACTAGAATAGAATAGAATAACAGAGTTGGAAGGGATCTTGGAGGTCTTCTAGTCCAACCCCCTGCCCAGGCAGAAAACCCTACACTACTTCAGACAAATGGTTATCCAACATCTTCTTAAAAATTTCCAGTGTTGGAGCATTCACAACTTCTGCAGGCAAGTTGTTCCACTGATTAATTGTTCTAACTGTCAGCAAATTTCTCCTTAGTTCTAAGTTGCTTCTCTCCTTGATTAGTTTCCACCCATTGCTTCTTGTTCTACCCTCAGGTGCTTTGAGAATAGTTTGACTCCCTCTTCTTTATGGCAACCCCTGAGATACTGGAACACTGCTATCATGTCTCCCCTAGTCCTTCTCTTCATTAAAGTAGACATACCCAGTTCCTGCAACCGTTCTTCATATGTTTTAGCCTCCAGTCCCCTAATCATCTTTGTTGCTCTTCTCTGCACTCTTTCTAGAGTCTCAACATCTTTTTTACATTGTGGCGACCAAAACTGAATGCAGTATTCCAAGTGTGGCCTTACCAAGGCATCATAAAGTGGTATTAATACTTGCAGACTAGAAGATCTCAGTGATCCTTTCCAGCCCTATGATTCTCTGAAGTTCAGAAAATTATTATTATGGTTGGCCACACAGTCAACCAGATGTTTAGGCTGGATTTGACATTTTTATCCACCTATGAAGTCCTAATTATTTACATATTTACATTTATTGGCTACCCAACTCCAGTGAACTTTAATCTTAATGTTAAACTAATGCCACAGTAAAGGAATGAAAAGAAAACATTGGCATTATTCACACTAGCCAATTTTTTTTGGCTTTTATTTATATGCCGCCCTTCTCCGGAGACTCAGGGCGGCTTACAATGCGTTAAGCAATTGATAATAGCATTGTATAGATTTGGCAAAGTCCACTTACAGTGCCATAAGTATTCTTATTTTACAAATTTCTATAAAAATAAGGCTGAGAATAACTGGCAAGTGGTTTTAATTTATATTTTGTAACGAATTTATAAAACTGACCAAAAATGTTTCAATTTTCCAAAACAGATTACATTTCTAGATTCCAAAAAGAGTCTTAATTTGAACATATTTTTGAAGCAATTTAAGTGGTAAGTGGTATTTTTATATTGATAAAATAATGCTAACATCATTAGAAATAATATTTGTAATAATTAACACTGCCATCCTGTGCTTGTTTTATGTAATTATTATAGGTCTACATATCTATTCTCTTAAACTGCACTGAAACATACCAGAATTACAACAGAGCTTGTCATACATTTAGAATCTAACTTCATGTACACATGAAGCTTCTCCAAGTAACCATCTTGCTTTAATGAAGCTTCTTTTTGTATTGAGACAAAGAAGAAAATTCTTTCTATACTCTGGGACCTGCTGTCAGGAGGTTTCTTTGTCTCAAGTCTAAAATATTTTTGCCATACATACTTGGGATTGGTTCCACTTTGGATAGATGCTACCTGTCATAACATAATAGATGCAACCTAAAATTAGATCTGGGTATCTAAAGATCTGTGTCCTCATTCATCATTTACCCTACCTAGCATCCGCATTCATTGATAGCCAAACTCAGAATATACCTGCCATGACTAATAATTGCTAATTGATTTATCTTTCTTAAGTATACCCATTCCTTTTTAAGCCTAATTTAGGTAGCAACCAATACTGAATTTTGTTGTAATAAATTCCAAATGTCAACTGTAGGCATAGAATGAAGAGATCTTTTTTCCATCTGACTTGAACATGCTTGTTAATCAATTTCATTGGGTGGACACAACATTCTAACTTGATAGCAATAGCAATAGCACTTAGACTTATACATGTCCCATAGTGCTTTGCAGCACTCTCTGGGCAATTTACAATATCAGCATACTGCCACCAAACATCTGGGTGCTCATTTTACCAACCTCAGAAAGGTGGAAGGCTGAGTCAACCTTGATCCCATCAGAATCAAACTCCAGACTGTGGGATTACAGTTACTGTGGGATTACAGTATTGTAGTTTGCAATACTGCATTCTAACCAGGGCTCCTTATGAGAAGAAGAGAAGAAAACCCTGCCTTTGCTGTCCCCATAATTACATAACAGTGATTGCATCTAATCCACAACCTCTTTTATCCACAGCACAAATGAGGAGGTGGTTAAAATGATTCAGGAAGGTGACAGAACAAAGTTTGATGTTGAAGTGCTAAAGCAGCTTCTTAAACTCCTACCGGAAAAACATGAAGTAAGATAAACAACAACAGAAAAAGGCTATTATTTCAATTTGTCTTTGTGTTGCATTTGCTATACATCATGATTCAATAATCAATATATATTAGTGGGTGGGTGGGTGTTGAGAGAAAGAGAGGGGGATATTTTGTAGCCTCTTCATCAGTGTGGCTGTGAAAAGAAGTTCAGAAGCTGTCTCCTCAGATTTAAATTAATCAGAATTTAATATTACATCCAAATAAAAATGTAGTCAATAAATTAATGATTTATTAGCATCTTGACCCATCATAATGCTCAGTACCACAAGCCTTTGCATATGTGGAAACAGCGATGTTACTGGAATATGACATTTCTCTTTTCTTGCTAGATAGAAAATTTGAAAGCTTTCAAAGAAGAAAAGGAAAAATTAGCAAATGCAGATCAGTTCTATCTTCTACTCCTTGGAGTTCCTAGGTAAGAGGAATGTTAATGAGAATAGTTGGTTAAAGAAACATACATTTAATTACTTAATTTAAATACACACATTTCAAACATTTCTGAAGCAGGAAATATCATTTCTTTTAAATGATTCCAGAGTTATAGTAGTCACAGAAGAGTTATAGATGGGAGGAAGGGGAATTTTTTTCAGACCGCAGTTATCTGCACTTTCAGAAGTACTAGTATAAAGAGGTATACTTTAATATCTAAATGAATGGATTAAAAGGTAATTTGATAAAATAAAAATAATGGTTGAATGTATTCAGTTGCCAGTTTAGAATAAGATTAATACAAAATATTTTTACATAAATAAATTATGCCAGCTACATCTTCCTACAGGTAATCCTTAACTTACAGTCATTCGTTTAACACTGTTCAAAGTTACGACGATACTTGTGTCTTATGACCATCACAGCATCCCCACAGTTATGTGATCAAAATTTGGGTGCTTGGCAACTGGCATGTACTTACAACCTAATCCTAACCATTAACTATTTCTTTATAAAATTTATTTGCCTCCCATCTTACCATAAGGTAACAGTCATAAAAATATATCTACATTAAAACATGAATAAATTAAAACCAAAGATTAAAATCTAAGGACACGTGGGGAGGGCGGGGGTGAAATGGGGGGAACTGAGATCTGTTACTCAATCTTCACTGTGCTATTAATGTTTAAGCAATATCAATATATTAATAATGGGCTTAATATTCCCACTTTTCCTGTATTGTCTATTGAGAAGTCAAGCATTTATATTTGTAAGATACATTTAACAGATTTCCTCCATCATAGTGATTGGCTTGGAAAATGTTCATTCTAGCTCTGTTTGGGTGCACAGTGTGCAATGTGGTATTTGTATGATTTCCCCACTCAAGCTACCAATTGAGGATTGAATGTATGCTGATGTGCGAAGAGACTGCTGTTCTGCTGGAGATGTTGCAGCCCAAAGCAGAAACAATAAGGAGGGCCTGTGAAGGTTAGTGATTGTCTAAGGCCTAAGTACAGTTTGGGTGTTCGGAGTTGTCTGAAAAATGGCCAGTTTCTTTCCACTCTAAAAATCACAATTTGCTGAGAAATCAAAGTCTAGTACCATTGCAAAGAACCAAGATTTAAATAGTTTGGTCAGTGCTTACGTAAATGCATAGATCTGTGTTTGCTCAGAAGATCCGTGTCCACCCCTGCAACAGGTATAGAATATTTGCGTTCTCAAACTCTCCAGATTAGTTAGTCAGTCTTTGAGAATGGAACGAAGCCATTATCAGTTTGGTATGCAATGTACTAATCCCATCTGCCTAGCAGCAGAAATCCTGCTCAAGCGTTCACCTTTGAAGTAATTAAAGCATGCAAAGTGGAGAGCAAAACCTCGGTATGTCTGTGCTTTTATCACATTCCATTCTCACATCCATCATACCGTTCCCCTTTGGTGTAAATAACTGCAGGCAAAGGAAAGAGAAGGAATAAGACATGAAACAAGAGACAGAAAAGGAAACAGCTAAACCTTATTTCCACAACAGCAATCACTATATCTCTACATAGCCTTTTATCCTTTACTCTATCACCACCATACACACATTTTTGTCAATTTCATTGAATTATGGCCCAGTTGCCACACCTTCTCATTGTGTTCACTCTTGCTTTGCATATCCTTCCTGCAAGATCCAGATGGATCTTAGTCTGCTGTTGTTCAGAAAAGCAGTGAAGACTTGGCTTTTCACCCAGGCCTTTATCTAGGGATAGTAAGATCCCCTCACTTCATTCCATCTAGTCTGTCAAACTTCTCATCTTTGATTGATGTTACTGTAATTTTTTTATTGTTGTGTTGACTTATTCAAAGTCAATGAGTGTCAAGCAGCATAGATGCTTAATAAATTGTTGCTCTTGTTGTGATTTGATCTTCGGTCCTTCTATCATTATGACCAAACCACCTCAATTATTCTTTCATACTGATCAATCACTTCTATACTGCATGAGTCAATGTTTATTCAGCATCCATTTATTCTTGACTGTATCTCTTCTTGTTTCCCCACACACATTTCTTAAACAATCCATTCTCATTGCATTTAGATAATTTTTGACATTGAACTTTTACAGTATACATTACAACAGAGAGGTATTTTTATATGCAACCTTTTAAACATTATTTTGATAAGCATTCATTCCTGAAAATAGACCACAGTGTATGAACTAGCTTTCTCTCAGCATTTGCACATTATAACATTTCTCCATTCATTTCCCACCTTTAGTAAATATTCTGCTGTCTGCTCTTTTTTTCCCCACTTAGGTGCAGCTATAGGATCATCAAGTTGGAAGGGGTCTCAGATGACAGCTAGTCCAAGCCTTGGCTTGGTGCACAATCTACTATAACATTTGTTCTCACACAATGTTTATTTCAGTCACTTACTACCTCTGTTATGACCCTCAACAAACACACTTCAGTTCCATATTAATGTAAAACATACCCCTTCAAAACTAGTATTCATTTTGCCACACACTGTTTCTGGCTTTGCAATACTATAATACGCATGATCTCTAATAAACTATAGCTTTCTCAATAAATGGAGCCAATGATAATTTCTATTTAGAGGTTTAAATTGTGGCAGGTATGTAGTTTTTGCATTTACTCTTGCTCCATTTACATTTGCAGAGAAGAACAGTTGCCACAATCTTTTTCTCATCAGGCATGGTTGTAGTCTTTATATATACACACAGTAAACAAATCACACATCCACTCCATAAGAAAAAAGCTTTTATATTTAAACATTTCTTCATGTGCACCATCTAGACCTGCAGCATTATTATTCTTCAATGTTCTTCCAACATTTATTATTTGTTAATTAAAAATTGAAAACACTTATTAAATTGATATTGGTATTTTCACCAGGCCATCTGTGTTCACTTATTTAACAGGTTTTCTTTCCTCTTAGATCTCCTCTCAAGCCAGCGGTTGCCCGTTTTCTGTCAATTGATCCTCAACGTTGGAAATTTCCTGAACTATGTAAGTGATCTTGAGAAAATGCACATTTTTAAAAAAGCAATAAGTAAAACAGTGTTGTTCTTCTTGCCTGTTTTGCAAATATTGTTCAAACCAGCATTATGAAAATAGCAAATATAATATTGTTCATTCTTCTTGTTGTTCTTTTTCTCTGAAAGGGAAGTCACACAGGAGATGCCGATGGCTTTAAAATTGGTACTTTGCTCAAGTTAACAGAAACTAAAGCAAACCAGACTCGCATTACACTGCTCCACCATATATTAGAGGTAGTTTCTGTTGTTTTTCATTGATAAATATCACAATAATAGTAAAATACTAATAGAAAGAAACTGATGCAGCTGAAATGTATACTAGCCAGAAATCATGTATTTAAGATGGTGTCTTCCTTTATTTTGTTTTGTTTGTTTGTTTCTCTAATAATTTTATTGCAAAAATATTTGAGGGAGATGGTATTTAATTAATAGGTGTTGGCCAAAACATATGCACAATATTTTGCTTACATAAAATATTCCTTCTTGACTTTTTTTAGTGTGTTTCTTGCTCATATAGCTTTATTGATTTGCTTTGCTGTCTTATTAATGCCAATTTTTTGTCCAAATGTTATTTAAACTTTTTAATCTTATTTTCTGGCATTAATTATACTGCTCAAATTATTCCAAGGGAATGTAAGACGTCTTTGCAAAATATTAGATACAGAAGAAGGGCTTAAATTATGGCAGTTCTTTGTTTTAGAATCCATCCAGCCTAGACATGATTCTTTTTCCCTTTTATCTTCCTGGTAGATCTTTATGGTTGCTTTTTAAACTGATTCTTGAATTTTCACAAAGTTTAACAAATGTATTTTGGTCCAGTTCATCAAATGTAGTGTCAGCCTCTTCTTCTTGGAACAATCTGCCCTTGATATACAACTGGCCCAATGCTTTGGTCTGGATGAAGGGAGTCCCAATTGGTTGTCTTGCAGTATATTTTAGTGTGATCCCCATTTTACTGTTCACACAAGATGCTTGGAAGTTTTTGCAACAACCCTTTAGAAACTTGTTTTTAATTCCCACTCATTGATCCAGATCCATCCATGGTTAATAGTTAAGCTGGATGCAAAGGATTCAAGGCAGACTCTATTAAATGGAGTAGTTCCATTTAGTTTCGCCCAACTGCAGAAAATTATATGTCTCCAGGTCATCCATGGATGTTGGGGGATTCTTAGGCAAAGAGATCATCTCTTTGGTAGATCTCTGTTTAACTAAGACTGATAGGCAGCCAGTATTATCGTACTAACTAATAATCTCTGAATAATGAGTTGACATACAGAGAAACTGCAGCTATCATACATCGTACATGTGTATAATTGGAATTTTTATATTTTCTCCCCTTTTTTATTTTTTTGGTTTAGGAAGTGGAAAAAAATCACACCGATTTGCTTCAACTTCCCAAAGATCTTGAATGTGTTTCAAAGGCAGCTGGGTAGGGATCACTATATATTTTATTATTGGGCAAAAACTATTTTTGTAGACATATGTCTTTCTTACATTATTGTTGAAAAAAGTAACCTAGCAAATAAATCAGGCCATGCTTAATAGGTAAATAATTTGATTAATCATACTTTAAAGCATGATAATATTGCTCATCAAAAACTTGTTCACAGCAAGGTAATTGTTTGAGCCTCCATAATATTAGCCTAAAACCTTTGAAGTTGTTTTCTTTAGGATTGTATAATCCAATCACATCCACAGAATTCCCACTTGGTTCCTATGAATCAATAGATGTATGTCAGTGGTGAAATCCAATTTTTTTACTACTGGTTCTGTGGGCCTGGTGTGGCTTGGTGGGCGTGGCAGGGGAAGGATACTGCAAAATCTCCATTCCTTCACCACTCCTGGGGGAAGGATATTGCAAAATCTCCATTCCCTCCCCATTCCTGGGGGAAGGATATTGCAAAATTTCCATTCCCACCCCACTCTGGGGCCAGCCAGAGGTGGTATTTGCTGGTTCTCCAAACTGCTCAAAATTTCTGCTACCGGTTCTCCAGAACCTGTCAGAACCTGCTGGATTTCACCCCTGATGTATGGCTTGTTTCTTTTCAGAATCAATCTAGACGTGATTCATTCTGAATCCAGCTCCAATATAAAGAAATTGCTGGAACTTGAACGGAAGCTATCATCGTCAACAGAAGAAGTGAAGGCCCAATATGGAACAGCCATTCAGGTTGGTATAACACAACTCTTCATTCTCTCCTTAGATGATACTTCCACTGATTCCATGTAGTTAGCTACTACTACATTTGTGTCGGAAGCAAGGCACTTCCAAGTTGAAAGGATTATCCAGAGACATCACCATTGCCCAAGGGATGCACAATGGTGCTCCTTTCATGTCCTTGCTATTTTTCTCACCAAAGTGATACCTGTTTATCTACTTGCATGTGCATGTTTTTGAACTCCTAGGTCGGTAGGAACTGGGACAAATTGACAGAAGCTCATTCTGTCACGTGGCTCACACTCTAGGGTTTTGAGGTGCCAAGCTATCAACCTCTCAATGGTCTTCAATGTCCTAGCCACATGAGCCACCACGGCCTCTATGAAGTTAGCTGATCCTTTTAGAATTTCAATTTTAATCTCTTCCAGGAAAGCTTAACTGCTAACAGAAAGCTGGAGGATGAGTTTGAACTCGTTGAAACTAAGAGAACAGAACTTGCCAACTATCTCTGTGAAGATCCGAACAAATTGTCTTTGGAGGAGATATTTAACACCATGAAAACCTTCCGTGATCTCTACATCAAAGCACTAAAGGTTTGCATTTGAGACATTAAAAAATAAGATCAGAACTGTTGTGAAACCTCATTGTGATGCACAGCAAAAGTATTGCGAAATCCTTAGATGGATAGTATCATTTTAGACTATTAGACCACACATACACAGAAACACAGAAACAAACTAGAGGGCTGCAAGTGCACAGCATTTTGGATTTGATTCCAAAACAGTTCTTTACAGCATAGGAAGTTGCAGATGTAACACTTGTAACACTCGTTCATGATTTTCCTTGTTTGAGGGAAAAGAAGTCATAAAATCCACAGAAGATTAAATGGAGTTGGCGCTACTGTGCACAGTATAAGAGAAGATTTAGGTCCACCTCCCCTCTCCCCCCCACCCCATTCCCTTTCTTCCCATGTTCCGCTTTTCTTCCTACATGCACACAGTGCAGAGGTGGACATAAAAATAACACAAATGGAAGGAATTCCTGGAGTCTAAAGCTGTTCTATTTTTACTGAGCTGAACTTCCATCTCTGTGCATCATCGGAAAGTTGACATTAAAATAATACCAGGACTTTAGTTTCAGAATGATTCTTGGGGAACTAATTGCCTAATGAAAATATACACATTCCTTCTTACTGAGTCTGTATTTTTCCAAGCATTTTCCTGCAAGATTTTAAAGATTTCTCTGGCTGGAGAATTCTGGGAGTTGAAGTCCACAAGTCTTAAAGCTGCCAAGTTTGAAGACCTATGGTTTAAGCACTGTAGTGTGTCTTTCTTGGTAGTTCAGCTACAATTTGGTTCTCATCTCATTGTTCCCTTTTTGTGCCCTCTTGATGAGTTTTACTGTCTCACCTCTATTAAAAATATATAAATTATTTTATGTTGCACTATTTCTTTCTCCTTATTTATATTTCGTTTTATGCACTGATTTTTCTTAGTTCTGATTCCTTAATTAGACACCCTGAATCTCAGGATTCCAAAAGACAGATAGAATATAATTTGTCTTAATGTTATCTAATTGTGATTTGTTGCATGGCAGACTTAGCCACAGTATAGTCACAGTTTCCTTCTATGGAAATGAGAAGCAACTGTGGTTTAATGAATTAGAAACTCTTTATACCTGGGCATCCAAGAAGGGAGACCTTAATACATAATTCAATCCTGGACATATAAATAGCAGTCTGACCTAAGCCAGTGACTCAGTAAAGGGAATTTCTTGCAGCAAAGCTAAAAGAAGACATAACGTCTTTGGACTAGAGGTAGTTCTTCTTATACCATTCATTCATTCATCAACCATTTGCAGTTATAATGGTGCTGAATGAAGGGCTTACAACTTGTGCCCAAAGTTATTGCAGCACCTCTTTGGACAGGTGGTCAAATGCCCAGTGCTTGGCAGCCTACCCACACCGATGATCAAGGACTTCAACTCCCCCACCAGCCTATCTTCCTTCCATCTACATTCATTTGGCCCCCTGCCACCCTGTGCTCTGCTACATCAGGTGACTTTCACCATCTTCTTCCTCCCATTGCTGACGTGATATACCTGGCCTATATCAGGGCCATGTTGGGCTTGGTTTCAGCTGTGCGGGGAAAGGAAACAAAAGCAACCCCTGACTCAAAACCAAAAAGCCCTTTTGCAAAAGTTTCTGGAGTACAGTGCAGAAAGTCTTTCTGGCACACCTCAGCTGCTCTTGACTTCTTTTTTTTCCTGCAGCCAAAGGCAAGCCCTGACTGGCCCAGTAGCCAGGCTAGGGACACCTCAGCAGCAGCAGGAGCAAGAAGATAACAAAGATCAGCTTAGATCATGGCTTAGGACCGGGGTATTTACGAGACCACCTTCTGCCATTGACAGCCTCCCACCGGCCAACTCGCTCCCACAGAGAGGGGCTCCTCAGGGTGCCGTCGGCCAAACAATGTTGACTGGCGACACCCAGGGGGAGAGCCTTCTCTGTGGGGGCACCAGCCCTTTGGAATGAGCTGTCCCTAGATGTACGTATGATCCCCGACCTGTGCACCTTTCGCTGCGCTCTGAAGACCCTTTTATTTCAACAAGCCGGGCTGGCCTAACATGAATATGAATTTTAAATGGGTGTATGTTAGTTTTAACTTGCGGGCCAAATTTTTGTTTATCCAATTTTAATGTTTTTTTAAATTTTGTAAACTATATGTGTTTTAATATGACTGTACACTGCCCTGAGTCCTTCGGGAGAAGGGCGGTATAGAAATCTAATAAAAGTCAAAAGTCAAAGTCAAAAGCTGAGGTGGCTCAGCACAGGGTGGCAGGAGGCTTGGAGTGCAAGATGGGGAGGGTAGCTGTGGCTGGGAGTGGATGAGATGGCTGTGGCTTCCTGGACCATGAAAGCTGCACAGTTTGTGCCTGTTTCCTTCCCCACAAGGCAGGGGGCAGGGTGGCCAAGAGATGGGGGGAGATGGACACGTGGGGGAAATTGGAGACAGTGCTTTACCTTACTGAGGCTCAGAGCATGGGTGTATACTCACTTAACAACCCAGGATTGTCGGTTGATGATGGCAACTGGGACTGCTGGGATTGCCATCACTAAATAAAACAGTCATATCACATCTTGCTGTATAACCACATCGCTTACTCACCAAATCATAAGTCGAGAACTACTTTCATAAGCAATTTCTTTGCAGTGAAAATTAAGTAGGCCCAATGTGGAGCATTGTAACATGACAGGTGAAAATCAGGCAAAAGTTAGATGTACCTTTTACATCCCATGTTCCTCATACACAGGAAAACAAGGACCGAAAGGAACAAGCAGCCAAAGCTGAGAAAAGGAAGAAACAGTTGGAAGAAGAAGAAGCTAAGAGGCCGAAAGGGGAAGATGGGAAAACCAGTGAGTCATGTAAAAGTTTTTCTTTACTTAGGTTCCACAAGCCTGTATCTGGCAACAAGCCCATTGAATTCAACTGAATTTACTTCCTAATGAACCTGCATGGAATTGCAGTATCTGTGGGAGGAAGTATTTCATCTCAAGTACTGCTGTCAATATGGTTTAGGCCAGATATCGGTTAGCCTAGAGTAAGCCCCAGTGAGTTTAGTGAAAGGTACATGTCAGCCAGTATGTTGTCGTAGTTACAATATTGGAGTGTTTTAGGAAGATCTAAATTCAAAGCCATCTTGACGCTTTAAGTGAGGTTCAATCTCTCAATTTCATAATAGCTATTTTGGAGGCAGGAAAAAAAGAAGAAAAAAATGCTATGCATATCAGCTTGAATACCAGGCAAGTTATAATGGCAGCAAAACAACCAGAATATATATGTATAGGTATGTGTCTGTGGGACACGGTGGCTCAGTGGCTAAAATGCTGAGCTTGTCGATTGAAAGTTCAGCGGTTCGAATCCCTAATGCCACGTAACGGGGTGAGCTCCTGTTACTTGTCCAGTTTCTGTCAACCTAGCAGTTCGAAAGCATGTAAAAAATGCAAGTAGGAAAATAGGGACCACCTTTGGTGGGAAGGTAAAAGCGGTCCGTGCACCTTCGGCATTTAGTCATGCCGGGCACATGACCACAGAGACATCTTCGGCTCTTCGGCTTTGAAATGGAGATGGACACCGCCCCCTAGAGTCGGGAACAACTAGCACATATGTGCGAGGGGAACCTTTACCTTTTTACTAGGTGTCTGTATAAGATGGATGGATGGATGGATGGATGGATGGATGGATGGATGGATGGATGTACACAGACAGAAACATATACACAAAAGAGATACACACAGAGAGACAGACATACACACAAAGGAACTGAAAACAGTTTATTGTTTTAATGCTATTCTTGTCTATACTATCTAGCGCCTGTGCATATACTATATGGCATCAATACAATAGAGTACAGCCTTGATGCAAGGGAACAATAATCTCTTCATATGATAATTTGCTACACTGAAGCATAATACAATTAGTAAGGAAATAAAGTTAAGCTTTCCAGGTAATTACTCTCAAAATAATCAGAACTATAGTTGCTTGTTCTGTTGTACTCAAGTTTCGGTGAGAGCTATTAAAAGCTACTTAAACGTGTAATTCTGCTCCCTCTCTCCCAGTTATCAGGACTTCCACTTTATGGACAGAGATAGTGCTAACATCTGGGTTGTTTTTGTAATTCTTCCACACAGCAAGAAAATAAAGCACTAGTCAAAAACAAAGTGCACCCTGGATGGATGAGATTTATTTGCATAAATGTGATTAGTTGGTGGTTCAGTGCTAGAAATTGCAAGGATAAGTGCTCATCAAAGGATGAACATTTGGATTGGTTTTTTTTCCCAGGTTCCAAAACACAATTTGTTTGTTAAGTTGTTTTGCATGTGCAACCCAAAATAAAATGCAGTGAAATGTAGGGCCTCCAGTCCAGCCACAGCCTCAATCTGATTGACCAACTCACTTTTTTCTCCAAATTCCAACTCTAGTTAAGAAAGGAGCTGTCAAACAAGAGGAGGTGTGTGTTATTGATGCTTTGCTGGCTGACATAAGGAAGGGATTCCAGCTACGAAAAACAACCAGGAACAAAAATGGCACAGACACTCCCATGAAAACCACACCTCAGAGAGGAAAAGTGATTGGTAAGAACAGAAAATCAGAAAATCTCATGAGTTTTTCCCCCTTGCTTAACCTACAACAGTCCATCTTGTTTCCAACTGTTTCCATTGATGGCCAGTTTGCTTCCAGGTCCAGTTCAAGGGGATTGTTGTGACCTAGGCTTACTGAGTCATTACAAGAAACAATTAATCCCAAACAAACCTATTTTATTGTAACAGCTGAGAATTATATTCATTCCCAGCTGAGTCCAATTAGTTGCAAAACAAGTCCTTCAGAAGAAGTCCTTCGGGATAATCACCAACCTTTATCTTCTTTGACACCCTACCAAAGGCCTTACTTGGCAAAGCCCCACAAAGTTCAGAAACAAACAAGAGATGCCGACTGGAAACAGAGTTAGCAACTTTGCTTTCTTACAAAAAGGCCCAAATGCATTTGTTTCTCTTTTAAGCCTTATGGGAGGAGCCAATCATCTCCTGGCCTTACTCCCGAGTTGTCCCTTTTGCTTTAGCTGCTCTTGCCTTCTGGTAGCTCTGCGCATGCATGCACTAGGAACAGGCTCCTCCTGTTCCTCTGCCTCTCTGCTGTCTGACTCTGGGGGCTCCGGAGTCCGCGCATTACTCCCAGATGGCCCTGGTCCCATCTCTGCCTCTGACGCAGAGCCCTCGTCCGGGCCTTCCCCAGACTCCAGGACTGGCCCATGTTCCTCCCAGCCTCCTCACTGTCCAACTCTGCTGCCAGTTCCGCAGGCTGCTGGCGGACCACAACAGGGATGGTTTTAACCTTTAAGACTTTATTGTGTGGGCTATCTGAGGAATCACCTCTCTCCCAGTTACATTGTCCTGCTCCATTAGATCTGGCAGAGAAGGCATGTTGCAGGATAGGAACCTTCATTTGATGGATCCCAGAAAATATGCGTTCTCTACTGTCACACCAACCTTATATGGAACGTTCTTCTCCCCGAAATTAAAGCAGCTCCACTCATTTCCATATTCCGAACACATTCCTGGGTCATCAAGTCTGGTGCTTCCTGGCAATTGTAGACTTGCTCAAATGGCTCCATTGTTGAGGATGACATTTTACTATTCTATGGTATTTTTTATATTTATAATATTTATTAATATGGATTTTTATATTTTACATTTTTTTTATTTTTGTATTGATCTGATTGTTCCTGCACTGTCCAGAGTCATTTTCAATGAAAAGGGTGGCTATATAAATTTATTAAATAGTAAATCAATCTAGAATGAGAATGAATAGAATTCATTGTCTTCTTTCTGTTATTTGTCTCAATGCTCTTTTCAAAAATATTCTCAGAGAGAAACAGCATGAAGCAATATCACCTCAGCATCCAGAAATTATTTTTCCGGTCAAATGTTTATGGGAAAAGAGAATAGTGTGAACTGAGAACTGTAATGGAAGAACTAGCATAGTTCTTCCATTTTCATTTTTTTTAAATGTTAGAACATTGTTTGGAGATATTATTGTTACTGGTTGCACCTGATTCTTTTCAAATAGAAATGAAAGTCACATTTGGTTGGAAAACGCCCTCATGTGGTCACGTCTAGTATGGTCCATATTATTAAGAGCAGAAATGTCTCCAAATCAAGCTTGATTCCTGACAATTTGAGGGGCACATTTACACCGTTTTCTTGGTAATAAGGTGGAAGTTGTTTAATCTTTTAGGATTCTTTGTTTTTTGCTTCCCAATCTAATCAGACAAGGAATTCTCTAGTTGTCTCCTTTGGAAGCGCAGATGAGGTCAGGCAGGTACTTCTCTACTGAGATAGAGCCATATCATAGGCCTCCTCAAAATCTTCCTTCCTAATGGAATGACAACATGAAGTTGTTAAATTTTCCTCTCCCACCACCACCACACACAGCTGATAAAAGAAACCACGCATGCACAGACACACAGAGACACACAATGGGATTGTGAAACAGAGATAGAAAACGAACACAGTATATCTATATCCTGTGTTGATTTAAATTTTGTGTTTGGTAGCTTACAGTGCAGCTGTTGAGCCCTTTTCAAAAGTAAAGGTTTTTTTTAATTTAAACTGTACTAAGGTTCAGGATTACACAGGGGAGCTCAAATGATAGCAATCTATATGCACAAAGTGTTGGCAAAAATGCATTTTTTAAAAACAAAAACAACACATAACTGAATACTTCTCCTGAAATGATTGTTTTATATGTACTAATATGCTGGTGTCTGTTTATGAAAGAATATTCTACGTTCTCAGCCTCCATCTAAATTTATGTATTTATTTATACATCTATCTATCTATCTATCTATCTATCTATCTATCTATCTATCTATTAATTTATATCCCATCTTAATTATTTTTACAACTAAGTCAAGGTGGTGCTTAATGTTCCTTTTTCCTCTTATTTTCCCCCACAACAATCCTATGTGGTGAGTTGGGCTGAGAAAGAGTGACAGGCCCAAAGTCACCCAGCTAGCTTTCATGCCTGAGGCAGAACTAGAACTCACAGTCTCCTGGCGCTTAGCCCAAAGTCAGCTTTCATGCTTAAGGGCAGACTAGAACTCACTGTCTCCTAGTTTCTAGACTGCAGGCCCCAAACACCACCTTTTGTATTAGGGCCCTAATACCTTTTGTATTAGGGCTCTAAGTACACACAATTGCTTACATGTGTAGGTCTTATATGTGACTGACATGCCTTTTTTATGGGGTGGGGGGCTCTTTTTAATATCATCTACTGCAGAGGCAGAGAAGTTACCATGACGACTAAAAAGGGAAATGTTACCTTCCCCTCTCCAACTACAATTCCTATAAATTCTATTCACTGCTGCACACTGCAATGGGGTGGGAGGAAGCTTCCATTATTTCAACATTATTTTTCTTACTGCTAAGAAAAGGGACAACAGGAAAACTTACAGCTCAGAAGAGAAGAATAAAAATAATCCCTCACACTGAGATTATAGTAATTCCCACATTATCACTATTTTCTCCCTGCTCTTTTGTTTTGTTTTTGATGAGGAAGTTGGGATGATTCAGTGGCAACCTTTTCTCAGTCTAAACTACAACTATTTGTATTGGATTTCATTCTTATTGGTATCCTTAATTTTCAGACCAAAGCGTTCAGGATGTGAAAGACCCAAAGCAAGAAGATGATTCAAGGACGCAAAATAATTTCCAGGACCAAGTAGAAAATGCAAAGCCTTCAGAAGGGGCTACGACAAATGAGAAATCTGAGATGGCTACTGACTCATTGAATTTACAGAAGCCGCCTGATGCTGTTGGGAATGGCATCTCTTCTCCAGCCCAGACAGATCCCGAAAAGGCCTCATTACATTCTTTTGTTTTGGAGGAAAATAGAGAAGCCCCGAATGGAACAAATTTGCAAGAGGAAACTGACTCCTGTTCCTTTCACGATGCCAATGACCATGATTTAGTGTTGTCTCATTCCATTTCTTTTGTAGAGTTTACAAGTGGTAACTCGGGACATTCAACCAGCTTGAATATTAAAGCCGATGAGGTTGACTCAGGGGACCCAGCTAGGAGAACTGAACCTGATGGCTCATGGAACCATTTAAATTCAAATGACCAGGTAAACAGTATTGATAGAAATGATGACACAGGAGAAAAAATATCTGAAAACACAAAACAGCTCACACCCTCTCAAGAAATGGCCCTTGAAACTTTGGCCCTGCCAGAAGCATCTAAAGTCAATGAAGACCGTTCCTCAGACTCCTTGTTCGACACGTCCCAGGATAAATCCTTCTCAGAAGAACCGGTAACTGATTCTTCATATTCAGCAACAGTACCTTCAGAACAAGCCCAAGCTGGAAAAGATGGCCAAAGAAGTTCATCAAAACGCAAGAAGAAAAAGAGGCACAGCAAAGGCCATTCAAGTAAGGCATTTTCATTGCGGTCTTTGAACATTAGGGCCAAATCAAGATGACCTCCTTAACCTGTATCCTCCCAGATATTTTCACCTACAACTTGAGCTAGCAATGCCCAATAGGTAGGACTGATGGCAGACATAATCCAAATTATCTGGAAGGATCCAGATTTGGAAAGGTCAATTTCACAAATAGACTGATTAATTTATTAAACGGTCAACTGAATGTTTGGGGTGGAGTGCAAATATTTACAAAAGTGTAGATGACATGGATCTTTTGATAAAAATGTTCCCTACTCCTTTGACCCCAAGAGGAATGCCTTCTCTGCTATAGTGCCTGGTGCACATACATACATTTGATAAATAATGAATTTGCTTTTTGTTTCAAAGCTATTGTTTTATTCACATGCACATGTGGCTGATTCAAACACTTAATTGACTAAAGTGCCATTAATCTAGAGCAGCGACCCCCAACCTTTTGGGCACCAGGGACCAGTTCCATGGAGAGAGGTTTCTCCGTGGATGGGGCTTCGCTTGTTTGCACGGCCCGGTTTCTGGCATGCCGCGGACTGGTGCCCGTTCACGGACCTGGGTTGGGGACCCCTGATCCTGAGAGAGACCCTTGTGTCCTTGCACACTGATTGTTATCCCATGACTGTGTTATTACGGTGGTATTTGCTAATATCTTGTGGCTACATTTAGTTGTCTTCTCTTTTATTTGAAAGCAGTGGTTGACACTGATTTAAAAGCGATGGTTGATACTGGAGATAAAAAAACAAAAAGAGTTTGTGAGATACAGTGAGGTATGTAAACCGTCAGGGATGCTGCTGTATGTGACTAACCGTTGCGTTGGGATCTTACACACCTAATGAAGTTGTTGATCATCACTACATAAAGCTATGCTTCTTGTAGCTAATTATATGCACTATGTTATTTCTTTTTTTAATACAATGCTTTTTATTTTGGGTGATTTGCTATCTGAGCTCAATTTCTGTACTTCTGGAATCCAGCAAGACTCCAGGCTTTGGGTCTTTTGTGTCAGCCAAACATTATTTACTTGTAGGAAAGCATTGTCTCTTGTTTAAGTTGTTCAATGTTGTTAGACATGTTGGGCAACAGCAAATGTTCTTCCTTTTGTCTGATCCTCATTTTCCATTCTCTGAAATTCTATAAAAATGCGATTTCAGGTATGGTCATCTTCACTACAGAATCAGAATAAGGCTGGTCAAGGGTTTTGGAAAAAAGATTCCACTCGTAACACAATCCTTCAGTTCCATTGTCTTTGTTGAACACTGTTGAAGATGGCTTTGATATTGTAGAATATTCATTGATGATTCTGCACTATTGTAAAATCCAGTGGTCCTTAGGAAATGGCTGCAGGGTTTTGCAGATCTCCCTCCCCTTGGATGGAAGGCAAAGGTCAGCCTTGCAAGTTACATCCTAGCAATTGGATCTGGATCATGTTCTTAGTACCCTAAAAAATTCTTAATTATTCCTCAGAATCAGTTTCCATTTGTTTTCAGACAAGAAGTTGGCCATTCCTGCAACTGCATTACTTTCTTCTTTGTCTTCTGATTGCAAGCAGCCATAACATAAACCAATCAAATGACATGTGACTTTCAAATGCTTTACAATGTAATCAACATGCTTGTTTTACCAATTCATCTATTTTTGTTCGTACAGTGTGTTATCAGAAATGAAAATTATGTGGAACATTTTTCAGTGAGGATTCCATCAACTGTCCATTATTTTCTACCAAAGCCCCTCTTTTCCCCCATTCAACTACAATCTATTCAGATGTTTTCCTTTTCAATACTTCTCTCTCCACAAAAATACCTTCTAATAAAAGCATTTACAACTATACAGTATTCAATGTTGCAGGGGACATCTTCACCTCTTTAACTTTATAGAGCAGGGGTGTCAAACTCAAGCCCTGCAGGCCGGATCTGGCCCGCGGGGCCAACTGGAAACAATGAAGGATGGCCCACAGCCCATGGTGTCTCTGCCAGCGTGATGCCCTTCCTAGCTCCGTTTCCGCTGACTAAGGTTGCAGGAAGCTGTCACAGTCGAAAATGGAGCTTGGAAGCCCATTTTCATTGGCAGAAAACTCGGGCCACTACAGGCACCCCTGACACAAGTGATGTCGAGCTGGCCACGCCCACCCTGGCCACGCCCACCCCAGCCCCCCAAGGTCAAACAACCCTGATGCAGCCCTCAATGAAATTGAGTTTGACACCCCTGTTATAGAGGATCTCCAACTGGAAGCGCCAAATACATGTGGAGATCCTGGATGATCTAGCAACTGAATTTTCTATGATCAGTTTTCTGCATGCACCCAGTTAGCCAACTCAAAGGGTTGATTATAGAGTATGCAACTTCTAGTGTGTCCATTTCCTTCCTCAGTGTTGTGACTCTGGTGTCTGAGCATCAATAGGTGAACCACAGTCAGGCCTTTACTTGATCAACCAACCTCAGTCAACTCCTTTAATCGATTAAATTTTATCTAGGTGAACAAGGATCAAGAAACCTAAAGAAAATTTGTCTGGAAGTGCTTATAAAATGCTAAATAGCAAGGCTGATATGTTGCTGAACATGCAGGACTTTGTTCCAAGGCCATAGGAGATGCTCAGAATGGCTAGATGGAAAACTCTTAAACTCTTCATTCCTACCTCTGCCAATAGCACATTCATTTGGAATCAAAGCTCAAAATTTAATCTCTTCACTTTTCATTGTTATTTTCAGTTTGGACATTTTGGGACCATTATAATTCTTAGCTGATGAGCCCAGAGAATGGTCTAGAGCCGTGATGGCGAACCTATGGCACGCGTGCCACAGGTGGCACGTGGAGCCATATTGGTGGGCACACGAGCGTTCCCCTAGCTCAGCTCTAGCACGCATGTGCACGCTGGCCAGCTGATTTTTGGGCCTTCTGGGCCCAACGAAAGTTGGCAAATGTGCTGTTTCTGGCCTCCGGAGGGCCTCTGGGGAGGTGGGGAAGGCTGTTTTTGCCCTCCCCAGGCTACTAGAAAGCCTCTGGAGCCTGGGGAGGGCAAAAAATGGGCCTACCGGGCCCACCGGGCCATCACATGCCAAAAGTGGGGGGAGCATGGGGGGGTCACGCCCACATGCGTGGGGGCGCAGGGCGCATAGAATTATGGATGTGGGCACACAAACACGCAACCACCCCGCACTCCCCCAGCTTTTGGCACGCGATGGCAAAAAGGTTAGCCATCACTGGTCTAGAGAGACACAAAGCAGGCATAGTATTAAAGCTAAGCAAATTGCAGTTTGAATGGAATCTATAGACAATGCAAAATGGCTGTTTGAACGATGTAATCTCAAAGTGGCACTAAAAATGGACTTTTCCTTTCCTTTGCAGGTGGTGCAGCAAGACAGAAAAAATAAAAAGCATGCTATTCAGTGGCGTCAGCTATTGAAAGAAGCCATAGTAATAGGGTGCAGTTAATTTTCGTCTGGAGGTACTTGATAGGGAGTAATTAATACTCAAATATATGTTATATCCAGACTTGAAAGCACCCTTAGCCTGTGCCTTATACAAAATTCTTATCCCAAAATAATTTTCTGCTGCTTTGGGGCCATGGAGTCAACTCCCGATGGACAAAATTGTTCGGCATAAGGTAAAGGAGATATGATCTAAGACAGAGCTGGAACAAGTTGAAGCTAACACAGTCATCTTTTGAATTTAACACAAAAAATATTGAAAGTTTTATGGCACCAATCTCACGTTTAGATAATGTGTCAGCTTAGGAAATAATGATCCAACAAGGACTGATTTTGCAAAGATCTGTGTTTGAGTTAACAACATCCTTCAATTTGATTGTGCTATACTTTACACCAGGTTGAAGCAAACAATTTTTGTGATACTATCAGATACATATCGCATTCCTGTTTTTACACAAGACTTGTTACTCCAAGGATTAGACAAAAGAGATTTGTTTTAAAGAAAATTAGTAATTATTCTGATACCATCCGTGTAGTTGACTGCCACCTAGTGGCAAAGGTATGCAATTACTGTCCATATGAACACACGAATTAATCTACATGTTTATCCCATCCTCTTTCTCACTACACGCACTGCGACACTTCTGTTCAAGAAAACTTCTTCCCAAAGTAATGTTATTATTAATGCAATCAATTTACACTTTTTTGTGATGGTGATAGTAAATGTGTTTGGGGCTAGGGATTATCTTTTTCTTGTTGCCTATGTATAACATTAATGGAAATATTTTAGCATTAATATTGGGAATGTGATTCCCTTTTATCGTAAAAAAAATTACTAAAGTAATTTTTCGTAGTTTATAAATACTATTGAGAGAATTGCAGATTTGTAAATATCTGTTCCCTTTTGTATATTCACTTATATGAGACTGAAAGTGTAGAAATTACTTTATAAGCTGAATTTAGCCATTATAATTTGGAAAGAAGATATTGATTGAGATATATCCTGCTGAAATAAAACTAATGCTGTGTTATAGTGGGCTTTGCAAAGCTAACTTTGATTTCCTCTCCAAATCTGTTGGGACAGTCTTCTCAAGGTCTCCCCATGAATGCTTTTGCCTATGTGGGCTAGAATAATGGGGAATTATGAACTCCTGAAATCCAGAAAATGCCAGGTTTAAAAAAAGCAAGCATGGGTATTTGAAACAAGAAGTTAACCTTACCCATGTTTTAGTTTATCACAGAATTTGAACAGAACTCAAGAATGTAACCAAGCCAGGTGCCTTCATAGCGGTTTCTTCCAGCCTTGGCATCTTTAAACTATGTTGCTGGGGAGTTCTGAGAGTTCATCCATAGTTTTTAAAATTACTAAGATGGAGAAAAATTGCTCCAGACATATTGCACTACAACACCTTTAATAGTAGGAAGCATGGTGACCCAGTGGCTTAATGATGCTTGGAGATGGTCTCAGCTCTGGGAGTTCGAGCCCAAGCATTGCGCGGCAGGGTGAGCTCCTGTCACTTGCCTCAGCTTTTGTCCACTTAAGAGTTCGAAAGCATATTCTATGCAAGTAGATAGGTAGGTACCACTTCGGAGGGGAGATGAGCTTGTGCTCTGTGCAGGAGTCAGATTCCTAATGGTTCTGAACCTTTCTGCTTATAGCACCCATTTGCATGGTAGCAATGGGAAGAGAAAGGGGCCTTGGGTGATGCTACAGGAAGAGCCCCTCATCTTTCTCTCTGGTGCAAAGCCAGCTCGCCCTCTTGTGATGCACCTTGGGAAGCACACAAGCGTGTCCTATAATAGGGCTGGTACCTTGGCCGGCCAAACTACTACTCTGCAATAGCATTGTGGTTTCCTGGCTACTGTAACAATGTCATATGCTAACAATAATAATACGCTGTAATAGTATACTACAGTGGCTCTCAACCTGTGGTCCACCGACTCCTGGGGGGGCAGCGATGTCATCATAGGGGTTCCGCAAAGGCTTGAAGAAATTTTATGATTTAAATCTTAAGTCTTGGTAATCCGTGGCCATGGTCTGTGGCCGCAAAAGGTATTTAAAGGGGTCCATGGTGAAGAAAAGGTTGAGAACCACTGGTATAGTACATCTAGAGGACATCAGGTTGAGGGAGGCTGCTGCAATTTGTGGAGATGATTATGAGAGCAATTTCTGAACACTGGATACTACCTTCCTCCAGTCATATGAAATTACATAATAGAGCATGTATCACTGTACATAGAAGCAGTGAGTTCCAAGGTGTCACAAAATGATAAATTAAGGAGACTGGGCTCCTACAGTTGAGTCTTCTTACTTCTGCATGCTGTTGTAGTCATCAAATTTTCCATTTTTTAATGGAATTGTTTTTCCCCGCCAACCCAAGTCAACAATAGTAAGAAGTATTTGTCATCATTTTGTTACAATGAAAATCTACAATAAGATTATGTAGGACCTCCTGATGGTTCTAAGGCATAACATCTCCAACTTTGTGTTTATATTTATGTGTGTATTTGCTTAGGTCACATACACTTGGCACAATAAACTTGCTTTCATTTAACAAGTTTACAACATTGTTTTTTATTATTTTATTGTGTTATAAGTGCTGAAATGTGCAACTCAAATGTTCAGATTGTGTCTCTCAAGTTTGTAAGCTTGCCTGAAAGTGTCTGTTTCTAAATATACCCCATTGCCAGATTCGTTGCATTAATCCAGGGACCAAAAGTCTTTTAAAATAATGTACATTCCTGCCCCATATATGTGTTATTAAAATTCACCAAAATGTTCTAAATTGTAGGATCTCACTCTTAAGATCTTAGCTTCCCATAAGAATATTTTGTGCAAGATTTCTTGATGCTGAAATATACCCAGTTGTGATGGTCATGACAGCTTTTAATTTTTTAACATTTATTTTTGTTGAATTATTATGTTCAAAGTATCGATTAATCAGGTACTGTTGCACTGAACCATAATCTGGTTTATGTGATTTTTGTTTAGGGTAATTAGAATCATTCTGCAAATCATGACTAACAGCATATCTGAGCAAAGCCCCAGTATTTTCTACAAGAAATTATAGTTAAAGATGCTCTACATTAACACAGTGTATAAAGCCACTTATTATAGAATTACTAATTTAGCTTCCCAGGAGCAGGATTACTCAATCCAATGAGTATGAATCTGCAACATGAAATAATATAGTCCAAGTATAAGTTGATTCTAAAGGTAATTGCAACCGTCCTTTCTATAAAGCTAAGCTTCCCTTCAAATGGCACCTGAATCGGGTGGGTTCTACTTACCTTTACTACCGGTTCGCATCGTGCCCGTGCGGGTGGGAATGGAGATTTTGCAATATCCTTCCCCCAGGAGTGGGGAGGGAATGGGGATTTTGCAGTATCCTTCCCCTGGAGTGGGGTGGGAATGGGGATTTTGCAGTATCCTTCCCCTGCCACGCCCACCAAGCAACACCATGCCCACCAAGCCACGCCCACAGAACCGGTAGTAAAAAAAATTGGATTTCATCACTGTATGAGACCATGGCATCTCTAGCTAACCGTCCTCATGTTACTATGGCCCCCAAGAGAATAATAATAAAGATAGTGAGATTTTTTTGCAGTTCTGCACTTCCTTCCAAACCTTTAATTCTGGTGCATAACCTTTTTTTAATGTGAAATGCACATTTGGAGTTTGAGGGACATACCAGGATTCACCTTCCAAAAAGCTGGTGAAACTAGCCAAAAAATGAAACATGATTTGGTTTTATATTCAATTACTTAAATCATCTCATTATTTCTTCTGCCACATTAAAAATCAATCACTTTCAAAGGTGCTCTGGAGGACACACCCCACTCTACTTGGGAGGTTTGTACAAGCGACTCTGCCACACGGCTTACAAAACAAATACAGAATAATGGTGGCAATCTAGTTCAGAATAATGGTGGCAACCTGTGACCTATTTCTAAAGGTGTGTCGGATCAAGTTCTGTGGAAGACTCTCGAAACCAATACAAGACAAAACAAGTAGGAAAGCAAAACAACCCAAATGCAGAAGAGAGCGTAAGTTTCTAAATATCTGAAGAAAACAGAATATGATTCAGACCTAGGGCTTTGTTTGTTTGTTTGTTTGTTTTAAATCACTGTATTATGTCCTAAAACACATTGTTAAGGCTGCCTCTTGTGGGGCTTGAGAAACAGATGAAAGCAACATTACGGGCAGTAGCACAAAACCAAAAGATTGCTGGTGCATGACTGTGCCAACTTTAGGTGCATTTGAAAAGAGCTTCTTGGGGCTGCCAGGCTTGAGATCCAGATAACTACCAGAAAATCAAGAGACCCATAAAAGCTTAACTCTGCTACCCGGTAGTGGTCTTCTAAGTGTTACTATTCAGTTCTGGTAGCCCTATCCCACTGAATTTGCTGTGAAAGGTTAACATGACTACCTAGCTGGAAAATAATACATAAATGCAATCACACGGTTTGTCCAGGTGATGGCTCCATGTGCCCTACAGTGAGATTTTCAAAAGTCATTCCGTAAAAGAAATTAAGACTCTTGAGCTGATTTACACAATACATTCAAGATACAGTGTTGTATTGAACTTACTAATTCTTTCAATACGAGCAGGGGAGAAGGAGGCAGTTTTACCCAGTGGTGAAATCCAAATTTTTTTACTACCAGTTTTGTGGGCGTGGCTTGGTGGGCATAGTGTGGCTTGGTGGGTGTGGCAGGGGAAGGATACTGCAAAATCTCCATTTCCACCCCAGTCCAGGGGAAGGATACTGCAAAATCCCCATTCCCACCCCACTCTGGGACCAGCCAGAGGTGGTATTTGCCGGTTCTCCGAACTACTCAAAATTTCCGCTACCGGTTCTCCAGAACCTGTCAGAACCTGCTGGATTTCACCCCTGGTTTTACCCCAAAACTGTCCCAGGACAATTATGAATCAACAACCTCAACAACCAAGTTGTTTGAATCCCAAAATCCACTTAACTGTGTGGCAGTTGAAATCTTGTCTTTTCAAGGCAAGAGGTGAAATTATAGACCAGCTGGAATAGCAAGACTATGTGACAATTTGCTGCTATGACTTGGCTACCACAAAATACTCTTCCCGAGACTGCCAAAGGTATACCCAGGGATCAATAGGCAAGAGTCTTTGGATGTAATGAAATAAAACTTTACTAGGAATCTCTTGATACGGTGACTTATGGATTACTAGGCAACAAAAGAGAGACCGGGAGTCTTTTCACAAAAATGATTGCTCTTCTGATTGTGGGTTTCCACATCTAATTCAAGGGAGCTATAACTCCATTTAGTATTTCTTTAATATAATTATTTTATTAAGCATTACAGTTAAAGAGATAAAAACTAATACAAACTACAAAATATAAAAGAATAAAAATAAAAAATAGCATAGAAAAAAAGAAGAAATAATATGGAAAGGAAAACAACAACGAAAGAAAAATAAGAGTATCACAAATAAGAAAAGAAATATGTAAAGAAATGATACTTCCCCTCATCACAAGTATAAATAATCTCAACAACCTATCACCTTCTCTTAAAATACAACAAATAATATTTTCATCTCATATCGCCTCTCTTATAGCCATAGCACTTACACTTATATACCGCTTTACAGTGCATTACAGCCCACTCTGAGTGGTTCACAGAGTCAGCATATTGCTCCCAACAATTTGGGTCCTCATTTTACCCACCTCAGAAGGATGGAAGGCTGAGTCAACCTTGAGTCTGGTGAGATTTGAACTGTCAAATTGCAGGCAGCCACAGGCAGCAGAAGTAGCCTGCAGTACTACACTCTAACCACTGCACCACCGTGGCTCTGTAAACAGATCCTTAATCTGTTTATATATAAATTTTTATATATTTTATTTTATATTTATAAAATTATTACAATTTATTAAAATGATAAATAGTACATTCATAAATTATAAATCTTACATTTATAAATTATAAATGTATAAGATTATAAAATAAAATTATTATAATTATATTTATGTTTTATATCTGTTTATGGATACATTTTTATAGATAATTTATCATATGTTTATAGAGCTTATGCACTGGAGACAAATTCCTTGTGTCCAATCACACTTGGCCAATGAAGAATTCTATTCTATTCTAAATCCTGGTCATTCCATCCTGGTCAGCAAGTTTATTAAGAATTACCACAAATAACCAAATATCTATTTTAATCTTGATCAAATCAACTCACTTTATATGTCAAGCACTGGGAAAATCAGGAGATTCAGGCAGTTCAAATGAGTATAAAGTTTTATTGCAAGCTTAAGCTCTACAAGAATCTGACCAACTAGCAGTCAAGTGAAATGAGTGGGAGATAAGAGAGGCATTCAAGGTGGGCTGGACTTAGATTTCTTGTAGGCAGGCAGGGACTTGTGGCTTATTATATGTTTGACCCCAACCTCAGGCTCAGCCTGGTCATCTCCTACATTATATTCCTTATGACTCCATTTAGAGTTGTGTGAATGGTTCTTGAAGGAAGCAACCTTTAAGATGTCCCAAGAAAGTTTCTTCTGGGCATCACAGGACCCCACTAAATTGTTGTAGACTAGAGGGACAAAGTGAAAAGAGAAACCCAGTAGGTGAAATGTTAAGGGGGGAAATGGGAAGGTCTCTTTCTGCTCAGTTCTTTCAGCAATTACAGTATTTCATTCATTTGTGTATCCCAATGGCTTGATTTGAAACACAGCAAACCATAACATGGCCTGGTTTTCTGTGGCTTAATATGTTTTGCGAATTGAGCCACTGTGGTTGCAAAAACTATATACCTTATAACTTAATGTATCCTGTTTCCCCAAAAATAAGACATCCCCTGATAATAAGCCCAATCGGGCTTTTGAGCGCATGCGCTAAAATAAGCCTCCCCCTGAAAATATTTAGATGCAGAGCTGGAAATCAGGTAAGAGGGCAAGAGGAGCCCCATCTTGCTTCACATGCCCCAAAATAATAAGACCTCCCCAAAAATAAGGCCAAGCACTTATTTCGGGGTTCAAAAAATATAAGACAGGGTCTTATTTTCGGGGAAACACAGTATTGTGTGAATACAGCCAATTGTGATTTATTTAATAAATCATGGTTAAACAACTATGATGTTCTATGCTGTATGAACACAGTCAATATATGTATTAATTTGCTTCTTCTCTCTGAGAAATCCTTGTTGGCATTAAATTCCTTCCTGTCCTCTTACAGTTTAATTTATTTCCTTGCTTGTACGAACATTTTCATGGCCCCTGAATGAACATATGCCCAAATTTCAAATGTTACCATCAGATTTGATTTTGTCAGGGATCAAGAACAAAATCTAATAAGCTTGCTAGTCAACAAATATAAAATACTTTAACCTTTCCATTATAAAATGTTAAAAACATTTCAAAACATTGCATCAGTTCCAGAAAAATCTATATTTGGTATCCAATACAAAACAAAGCATAATCTTTAGTTTCCTGACTAAAGTATTAAACTGCTGACATTTAGGGAGAAGAATCCTATGGGGAAATTTGGGCCAAAGGTCCTTCAATTCTAAATCAAATTTTAAAAAGCAG